TCGAATTAGGACTCGTGTCATAAAAATGATAAACCCGACTCGAGAAAAAATTCGAGTCGGGTCGATCAACCCGGGTCGACTCGACCGGCTCGGAGCACTAATCCTTAATTCATTTGAACGTTTAAGATTAAAATTAATGCATTATATAAAATAATAACCGACTTGTTGGCGCAACATTTCATTCTTGATAGAGTATTAAACTATGTCAAACCTGTTACTTTTGAAATTTTTTAAACACTCGATTATGCAAAGAATTCATAATTTTAAATTAATTTCACAAGTTTTTTTATTTCTAATTGGATTTTTCGTCGCATTTTAATATCCAAATCAATTATTTTTTTTTAAAGCATTATTGTTTTATAAATAAATTTTTAAACTATTTTCAAACAAACAAAAAAAAAATCCATTTCATATTAATAAAGATGTAATTAAATTATCCAAACGGAAATAAATAATATATTTCTGAAATGCATTTTATTATTTGGACTATTTGTAATGCAAGTTTTTGGACAAATTTATTCAAGAAGATTTTTGCTTAAAAACTTGAACGTAGAATTCACGTTACACAAAATATCAGGAGAATACTAATCGTTTAATCGAGTATCTTACTTTTTTAGCTAATACCTTCACTTGAGAAACACATGATCTTTAATCTTAATTAGTTTAGTCAGAACCTGAAAAAATTACATTCTGAATAAATACTTATTTGTCCAGTTGACTTGTTGTAATGATTAAATTTGTAAACTTTTCGTCTTTCATTGACCTTTAAATGATGTTCTAAACAAATTGTGTGAATTTCATTCAAAATTCTCGCACAAAGTAAGAAATTTGCACCATTTTCGCATTATCATGTGATGTAGTTATAAATGCGTTATTTTTTCTCTTTCCCTTTATTTTTCCTTAAAAAATAATAATAATAATAAAAAATGACTTCAAAGTTCCATGAAAGTCTTTCACTAGAACCTTCAATCATGTTAAATGAACTGATGATCATAACAATTTTTATTCAAGCTGAAGAAAATTCTAATATAAAAGAATTTAGAGCACATACGAATATCTTGAGGGCTCGTTCGCCTTATTTCAAAAGCGCACTTTCGACTAATGGGTAACTAAAAAGAACAATATGTTTGAGTTAAAAAGCCGAATATTAATCCTATCATCTTCGATATGATTTTCAAGTATTACGTTTCCTAAGATTTATGTCAAATCATTTTTAATATAACTAATCTTTTTCTTCTCCTTCTAATATAAAGATATATTTATTTAGAAGTGGATTTGACCAGAAATTCAGGTGCTGATATTCTCAGACTATTGGTTGCGTCTGATGAATTTCTTCTCGAGGAATTATTTAAATATGTTCAAGATCATTTGATTGTAAAACAAACGGCTTGGTTCCGACAAAATTTTGTTCTTGTTCTACTTACAATCTTTAAGCTTGATAGTTGTAAGAAACTGCAGGATCATAGTGTTGATTCTATCTGCACAGACCCACAACCATTTATCACAAAAGTCTTTCAATCACTCGATAAAATATTTTTTATGATTTGCTTAAGCGAGACGACTTGCAAATCGAAGAAGCTGTTGCTTGGGAACATTTAATTAAATGGAGTATTGGACAAACCCCTAATTAGAAAGCAAGATTAACGATAGGGCAAAATGGTAAGCAAAGATTATGAAGCATTGGAGAACACTTTAAGTCGATTTATTCCTCTTATTCGTTTTTTCAGCCATTAGTTCTGATAAACCTATCATTCCTCATCAAATTTATGACGAAATTATGGAATATTATATGAAAGATGCTTTAACAATTATGACTACTACTTACTATCCCGATTCCGTAAGTGTCAAATCGAATCACTCATTATTAAACCAATATTTGCTTATGTAATTTCTAGTTGGATTGATAAAAAAGACGGGAAGGCTGCTTGAAATAAATCAAGTATAAAATACAAGTTCGGTCTTGTGTTTCGTGGTAGTTGTGATGGGATGAATTCATTGATCAATCATAGTTCTGGTCAAACAAATATTTAGTTTTAGTCGAAGGTCAATCTTCAAAGTATATTTTCTAATTGGATTTGATGTTTTTAGAAATTATGGTAATTGGCGATCTACAACAAATAACTTTAATTTTTTTTGTGAAGAAAATGAAGGAGTTACAAAATCTATGAATATTATAATAGTTTTGCATTTAATTTTGGTAATACTTTTTATATTAGTGGACAGTATGTAACATTGCAATATCAAGGATTTATGATATAAAATTATTAATTAAGGTACGAATATTAATTTGTTCCTAAGAAAATTGAACTTTTAAAAGTATTCTCTTCGTAATTTGTTAAATTCAATCAATCAGTTACTACAAAAAATGAATAACAAGGGAGTTACATATACACTATTAAAATTTATTTGTAGGATACCAATAATGGTTTGAAATCAAATGGGTTGATTTCCATATTATATGAAGTGCACTCTAGGAAAGTTTATTAAGATAATAGATCCAACATGTAAAATTCTCGATCTTAAGAGCTTAGACGAGACTTTTCTTAATAGCAAATTCTTTACAAACATAATTGTCCTGAAATAATCAGCACAAATTTATAAATTTTCTGAATGATTATATTGAGTATATCTTTGTATAAACGGAAAGCGATTCAGTTCGCATTTACTTTCTTCACAAAATCATAAGGCGGAATCTGGCTAAAAATATTAAGACTTCGTTGAATATAGCAGCATAGATCTCGTTGCCATTTCTTTTTAGTAACGTTGACCACAACATTTTTATCGCAGGGTCATTCTCTCAAATATTAGCAGGTATTTGTGAGAAATTGGTGAATAAGCACAAGGCATAAAAAAGAGAAAGTATATAAATAATTCATTTTAATGTGCTTTATTGGAAAAAATAATGTAATTAATGTAATGAACCTTCCCAATTATAAACTCGGATTCTAATTCTTTTCATTTCCATACGTCGTCGAATACCTTGGTTATTTTTGAAATCAATGGAGAGAAATCTCTCAATAGCTGAGAAATAACCTACAGTATAACGGAACGCAGGCCATAAGTTGTTTAAACCTCACCTAGTCATATAATCACGTTTGGATCTCTCGGCTAAAAAGAAAATAATACCTTATGATTTACCTGAATCATCAAATAATTTTATGATATTTGTAGAAATTCAGAAAGATGCAGAACATTCGTTGACCTTGTTTGTGGATGGGTTAAATTATTCCAGTTGATACTTTTATTATTTGTCGGAAATTAATTTTGATTGAAATGATCGGCAGAATGTCACGTTACTGAAACTACCAATCAAAATCCTTCTCATTGTTTATAAAAGGTTATCTGGTTTACTCTTTTTTGTTTGTTCTTCTTACACTTTACTCTTTGGAGATAACTAGTGTAGTTATACCACTTAGCCTTTTTTTTAACATTAATATCAGGTATTACTTTAAAATAGAAAATCACGTCATTTAGTCATTTCTGATATTTTTAATTTCTTTCGATACACAAAAGATTTTTTTTTTTTTTCGAAAGATTGGGATTCTTTTTTTTTCTTTTTTTGAGTTTGCATTGAATATGAAGCAGGGAACACGGGTTGATTTACTATTTATCTTTTTTTTCTTTTCATTATCAAACTAATTTACTTAATGATAATCGCGCGTCGCAAAAATTGATGGAGTGGACATTGCTTTTGAAAAACGAATAATGTGTTATATAAGTTAAATATAACATATAATTGATGTATATTCTAGATTATTATTTGTAATTGTGATTGAATTTTGAACTAATGTTGAATATTGAATTACAAAACAGGAAACACGGTTGTTATTATTTTCTTTTATTATATTTGAATGATAATGGCGCGTGATGGAGTTAGATTTTTGATATAATTCATATTGGATGGATATATTAATTGTGATTGTATTTTCAAGTTAACGTTGAATATTGGAATTAAAGCTGGGAATACGGTTTGATTGGTTTGATTCTTCATTAATATTGCTTTTTTTTTATTATAAGATTTATATACTTGAGTCGATTATTGATGGAGTATAATTGAAAAATGGTGTGGATTTATTTTTTTTTTATACGGATGATTGGACTTTTAAGCTAACGTTGAATATTGGAATTTGAAGCAGGAAACACGGTTTGATTTATCATTATTATTGTTATCTTTTATTACCTAGCATTTACTAATATATACTTGAACAATAATGGCGCGTTGATTACATTGATTGAGTGTAATTTTCAATATTGGAGTTATCATTGGATGGATCTATGTATTATTGATTAATTTTTTAACATTCGTTCTTTATTGGAATTTGAAGTTTAAAAACATGGCCTAATATATTCTTGAATGATAATGGCGCGTCAATTACATGTATGGAGTAGAATTTTGATATAATTCATCATTGGATGGGTATATTATTGTGAATATTTTTCAAGTTAACGTTGAATATTGGAATTAAAGCTGGGAACGCGGTTGGTTGGTTTGATTCTTCATTATTATTGCTTTTTTTTTATTATAAGATTTATATACTTGAGTCGATTATTGATGGAGTATAATTGAAAATTGGTGTGGATTTATTTTTTTTTTATACGGATGATTGGACCTTTAAGCTAACTTTGAATATTGGAATTTGAAGCAGGAAACACGGTTTGATTTATCATTATTATTGTTATCTTTTATTACCTAGCATTTACTAATATATACTTGAATAATAATGGCGCGTCTATTACATTTATTTAGTGGAATTTTACTATTGGAGTTATTGTTGATTAATTTGTTAGATAGATTTATGTAATTAATAATCGGATTTTATTAACGTTTATTATTGGAACTTGAAGCAGAAAAAATGGTTGAATATTTTGATGGATATATGAAAATTATTATTTGATTTGGGTACATGAGTAGAATTGAAATAAGCGTACTATGGATTTATGTTTATTGGATGATTATTAAGTTGAAATATGATTGGACTTTTGAGTAAACGTTAAAATTGAATATGAATCAGAAAACTTGGAAAACATGGGTTTGATTTAATCGTTCTTATTGTTTTCTTTTATTATTAAGCATTTACTAATATATACTTAAATTATAATGGCGCGTCGATTACATTGATGGAGTGGTATTTTATTGTTAATTAATTTATCATTGAATGGATCTATGTAATTTTTAATTGAATTAGTTTGGAATTTTATTAACGTTCAATGTTGAAATCTGGAGTAGTAAACATTGTTTAATATATGCTTGAAAGATAATGGCGCGACAATTACAATGTTGGAATTTGACTATTGTAGTTAATGTTTATCATGGATTTATGTAATTTATAAATTGGAAATGTGATTTGATTTTTATGTTAATATTGAACATTGGAATATGAATCTGAAAACTTGGGTTTGATTTATCGTTTATTGTTCTCTTTTATTACAAAGCCTTTCCTATACTTGAATGATAATAGCGCGTCGATTACATTGATGGAGTGGAATTATACTATTATACTATTGGATTTATTGTTGATTAATTTATCATTGAATAGAATTATGTAATTTTTAATTGAATTAGTTTGGAATGTTATTAACGTTTAATATTGGAATCTGAAGTAGTAAACATGGTTTAATATATGTTTGAATTATAATGGCGCAACAATCACATTGTTGGAATTTAACTATTGTAGTTTATGTTGATCATGGATATATGTAATTTATAAATTAGAAATGTGATTTGATTTTTATGTTGATTATAAACATTGGAATATGAAGCTGAAAACTTGGGTTTGATTTATCTTTTTATTGTTTTCTTTTATTATTTAGCCTTTACTAATATATACTTGAATGTTAATGGCGCGTCGTTTGCATTAGTGGAGTGGAATTTTACTATTGGATTTATTGTTAATTTATCATCGAATGGATTTATGTAATTTTTAATTGAATTAGATTTGAATTTTATTAACGTTTTGTTGAAATCTGAAGTAGTAAACATGGTTTAATATATACTCGAATAATAATGGCGCGACAATTACATTGTTGGAATTTTACTATTGTAGTTAATGTTGATCATATCATCAGATGGATATATGTAATTTATTAATTTGAAATGTGATTTGATTTTTATGTTAATGTCGAACATTGGAATATGAAGCTGAAGAATTGGGTTTGATTTATCGTTTTTATTGTTCTCTTTTATTATAAAGCCTTTACTAATGTATACTTGAATGAAAATAGCGCGTCAGTTACATTGTTGGAGAGAATTATACTATTAGAGTTAACGTGGAATTTATTAATTGGAAATGTGATTCGATTTTTATGTTAATGTTAAATATTTGAATATGAAGCTGAAACTTGGGTTTGATTTATCATTTTTATTGTTATCTTTTATATTAAGCCTTTACTAATATATGCTTGAATTATAATGGCGCGTCGATTGCATTGATGGAGTGTAATTTTAATGTTAGATTTTCATTGGATAGATATATGTAATTATTAATTGGATTTGATTGGAATTTTATTAGCATTTAATATTGAATCTGAAGTAGAATACATGGTTTAAAATATGCCTAATTTACTATTGGAGTTAATGTGGATCATCGGATGATATATATAATTTATAAATTGGAAATGTAATTTGATTTTTATGTTAATGTTTAACATTGGAATATAAAGCTGAAAACTTGGTTTAAATTATCGTTTTTATTGTTTCTTTAATCATTATACCTTTACTAATATATGCTTGAATGATAATGGCGCGTCGATTACATTGGAGTGGAATATTACTATTGGAAAATGTAATTTATTAATTGGGAATGTGTTTTCGATTTTTATGTTAACGTTTAATATTAGAATTTGAAACAGAAAACGGGTTTGATTAATCTTTATTATTGTTTTCTTTTATTATTAAGCATTTACTAATTTATGCTTGAATGTTAATGGCGCGTCGATTACATTGATGGAATGGAATTTTACTATTGGACTTATTGTTGATTAATTTATCATTGGAAGGAGTTAAATACGGTTTGATTATTATCATTATTGTT